ATATATATATATATATATATATATATATATATATATATATATATATATATATATATATATATATATATATATATATTCTTGAATACAAGTTTCCTCCTGAGCAGCTACTTTCCCAAAACAAGCTTATTTGGATTAAAAAATGTATTGTATTTTTTAAAGTAAATACAGGGAAAATTTTTCTCAAGAAAAGCAAATAACTTAGCATTCTGGCAACAGTATTTTAAGTACAACAAATATGTATATTTTTTTTCAAAATCAGACATAAAAATGAAGAGAACCTTAAACGGTTTCTTATGTTGACGTTGGCAAAAGATATTGTTTTTCAACTCCAAACTAAATTTACCATTTCCGAGGAAAACCAATGGAAGTGAACAGATTTCACCATAGAGCTGCTCAATAGGAATCTTGCAAGAAGGAGAAACTAGGTTTTCATGAGCAAATAAGTGGCTTCTGTAAAATCAAATCTACTGTAATGATTATATCCTGCTGTCTGACTTCTTTAGTGGTACACCAAAATGCCGGTACATATATCAAAAAAAGAGTAACTTCAATTTATTTTCAGGAACTGAAATAACTTGTGGTTAGAACTCAATAGGAATATTTTTAGCTTTGCATTTAAGAGCATCCTAGAATTTAAATATGAGGATTTTTAATGAGCACTCAAAATGCCTGTACACGTACATGTAAGAAATAAATAAAATGGTAAATAAGTTTTGACTGTATTTTCTAGTAACGGAGGCTTTGGACAAACAATTAAGAACAAAAGTTAGCGATAATAATTTTGAATGACCTTTTGATGACTTATTCATCATTTTCAAATTCATAAAACTAAAAGTCAGATTCTTGGGAGTTCTTTATTGTGAAAGTCTTGTTGCATGTGATTAAAAACACTACAATGTGGAATATAGAGAGTGTTAATTAAGAACTAAATAGTTTTGCTTTGATTGAGTCAGATTGAGTGTTCAGTTTAGGTTTCTTTTCTTGGATAAAGAGCATTTCATAAATTATTTCTTATTAAAATATATTTTGGTTTATTTTCTGCATGGCTTTTTGAACTTTCATTGTCCGTTTCTGAATTCGACAATAACAATTGCAAAAACTTACTTTTTTAGGCAATTTTGAACAAAATGTCGGCTCTTTTTTGTTTTATGTCTGTACGCATGAAAATACAACAAGAATTACTGAACTTTTAATTCACAGAAACAAATTTTACCATAATTGAGATTCAGTTAATTTTTAGTCAGGATGATTGCTATTGGCATAATTCCCGGCCCTGATATAATGAATTGTATGGAAAATGTGACAAGCAAGCCACTTATTTGCAAATGAATGACACCCACACAACACACACACTGGTCAGTTCAATACTCTGTTTACATGGGTACTAGTTACATGTGCATCAAAGTGGTATTGGAATACAATCTTAAAGATCTTTAAATTGCAACTAGATAAATTTAAAGGTTGGTAATTGCTATTTTATTTAGCTGCATATCCTGGGCTTTTCATCTTGACTATTAATTGAGTTATTGAGTGATTTTTTGATTGATTAAATTATTGGTTGATTGATTGATTGATTGATTGATTGATTGATTGATTGACTTGGGAATTTCCCTTTACCTATGATTAAAAAAGAGATCTTTGAAAAAGAAAAAAATAAAACTTCTTCCTAGTTTGCTCATTGACTAAAATAACAGCTGCAAAGGAGACTGCAAACCCACATGTGCACATGTAACTAGGAAATGAACAGAGAGTAATAAATTGGTATTACATTGCAAACAAATTAATGTTTACCTCAAGTAATCAAAGAATTTTTCATCTCAATTGGCCCACAGTAATGTGTCACAAATTTTGTTAAATTGAAATTTGGAAATATTGGTTTTTCAGGAGTGAGGGAAACCGGAGTACCTGGAGAAAAACCCTCAGGGCAAGGTGCACCATGCCATCTCTGCTACTGGTAATTTGAAAATATTGGTTTTTCAGGAGTGAGGGGAACCGGAGTACCTGGAGAAAAACCCTCAGGGCAAGGTGCACTGTGCCATTTCTGCTACTGGTAATATCTCATATACCTTAATATATCTATAATTCATCTTCCGAAAGTTCATCTTCCAAGGCATCATCCACTGTCCTTGACCCACAGTTGTCAATCCTCGGTCCTCATTCCTCAGTCCCATCCTTGCTCCTTGATGCTCTGTCCAGGGTCCTCTGTCCCGGGTCCATGGTCCTTGATCTTGTGCGCTATGTCTCTAGCAACTTGCCTGCAAATCCAATATGTATGTAGTAAGCATTTGTACGGGACTTTTGCTAAACTTGCATAAAAAACAATGTGGAGATATTTTCTATTAAAATTTTGCTTTAGGAGTCTTGAGAATTTCACAACCTCCTAAACAATTACCCAAACATTTCTACCCCACCAAATCAAACTAATTCCCTAAGCAATCAATCAATGTTCTTGCAGCAGAAAGATAGCCATGAGACTGCAGGCAATGATGTTCCTTGATGGGATGAATGATTCTGAACCAGACATTAACTCTGAAGCCAGAGGCAAGAAATTCTGAATAATTCTAAGGAATATTAACCCAGGAATAAATTAGCTTGAAATGAGCAACTTAAAATGCTCTGAACTGGGTGAGTGGGGGAGGGGGCATCTTAATGCAAGACTCTGCTCTGCTCATTAGTTGCCATAAATTATTATGACAACATACCAGTAAAAATAAATACTTTGCATATACATTTCTTGCCAAAAATTTGACGACTTTAATTTTGGACAAAAAAGTGTCCAGAAATATAACCATCTGAAATTTGTAAGTGCCTAAAATTTTAAGCATCCAAAATATTTACAGTACAGTATAAAGTACATACTTTCTTCTTGGACAGCACCATCACATGAGAGATGAAGCAAGAACTTGAATTTGGATTTGCTTGTTCTTTTTATCACCTGAAAGGAAAACTTTCGTTTCTTTTATGAGTACATAGATGTAATGCAGATCAATTCCATAAATTTTCCACTCTGACTCAAGGTTGGTAGGCAAAAATTTAACTAAGCTATATTCTAGCAAAGCATCCCAAACTAAAATGTCCAAAATTTTTGAAAGTAATGTACGTTTGGCAATTATTGAAACAAAATTAATGCTTATCAAAAACATATCACTGTCAAGCATGCAAATAATAGTAGGTCATCAGACAATTGTCTGGTAAATTTGAGGTTTTGACAGGTAAAAGCTTAGCCTGGTCGGACACTCTGACCGCGGGCATTTCTGCTACAATGAAAACTAGTAGTAATTGTAGATTAAGGAGTGCATTCAAGTCTTGGTAGGATTGGTACGTCAAAAAAGCAAAAATTCTAGGAGCAGCATTTTGTGCCTGAGCTGTTGGGTAGACGTGAAATTGGCCTCTCTTCAGCAGGGGCGAAAACAAATGAATTGATTGCAAAGCACGTACGCTGTACACACAGGAGGGTTTGTTCTCGATCGCTCGTTTATACATGTATTACGTAAAATTAGTTATGACCGGTCAGAAAAAAACACAGACTGCAGTCGGTAGGCTGCATTTAGGTCACAGTCTGTGTTTTATACTCAGTTCATAATGCTTAGTCTGCGTTTTATGCCTAAGTCCGCAGTTCGCAGTCCACAGTCCACAGTCTGCAGTCCGCAGTCCATATTTATACTGACCGTGTAATGGTACATTTTGCTGACCCCTAGTCTATGGACTACCTTGATGGACCTGGTCCATGGACTACTTGAATGGACTACCCATGGACTACCCATGGACTACCCTCAATGGACCACCCTGAAATTTGAGGCAAACATAAATTTAACGATGCTAGAACCCGAACAAAAGATGCAATCAATCGACAAACACAATTACGGAACACTTGCGATGTAACAGATTTAACGATCTGGCGGGGTTGTTCAGAAGGCAGTTAATGCTAACCCAGGATTAAAAGTTTTTCTTGTATAGAGATTGTTTTCACTGCTTATGTTTTGTGTATTTTGAGATTATTCAAACTCAAAACGGAAGGCCAAACAATAAAAACAGAAAATCTCACCGCAAAGTTACAAAACTCAAATCACAATTCTCAGTTAACCTGGGTTAGCTTAATCGGGCATTGAACAACCCAGCCCAGAGCTTTTAACCTTGGTTAAATCTATACAATTATTATTATTATTATTATTGTTACTATTCATCTCAGCCAGCTCATTTTGCTGACCTTTTCATCACATTCTTTAGGAACAGATCTGGCAAATCAGCCATCCACTACAGCAATAAAGCCGCTAACTTCAAAACTTTGTGGTGACCCTGGAAATTCTGATGATAAATGGAGATAATGAATGCTATATGTGCTAAGGGTTGTCACAAAGCTCTGAAGTAGGCATCTCTGTTGCTGAAAAAGGTGGCTGATTTTGCCATTGTTCTTTTTAAAGAATCAGGTGAACAGCCCCATATAGAGTAACCAGTCAACATCATGAGCAGAGGGTAATTTGTGCTGGCTGCTGGCTAGTTTTTACAAGCCTGGACACTTTTACTGCACTGCTTGAATAATAGAACAATCAATTACCTGTAGTCTAATTTGAAATCACAAACAATAATTAAATTGTGTTGAATATGAAACTATTGCTAGTTAGTCCATAATAGACATAATAAAGAGTTTAGGTTTACGTGCCTTTGCTCTGACTGAGGCTGGTACATGAACATGATGTACATATATGAACATGTACATGTACATAAACTCAGTCATACAACTTAGTCATTTAAAATGTGAACCACACTAAGGCCATATATTCAGTCTGGAGATACCTACATCATGGCACCTACATGTATCATGGCTTGTAGTAACATCTGCCAGATTTCAAGATCAGCTGCCCTTTGTCAAACATGTTGTAATTTACTTGCTGTAGTTACCTGTTTTTGCCTAAAACACAAAGAAATTGAAGGAACCTCTTCAAGAATGAGAAAAACATGAAGTTTTCCCCTACTAATATTCAACATGTTCTTGACTAAGAGACATATATGTACCTTTTGCAATAGGATTACAGTGTCCCCTCCACTGTATACAGTTATTATTAATAACAATTTCCCCCCTCCCTGATTACAATTTGGATATCTACCTCCTTTTCCCTGGTAAATAAAGTAGACTTCAGCTATCCACAGAAACCCAGAGACAGAATAGAAATATGAGCAAGCCAAATGAGTGCAAGTGAGGGTTTACCACATCTCTTGTCAGATAGTTGAGTCCAAGCATGGACTTAACTATCTTAAAAAGCAAAACTTGTCTATTCCTACACAGCTTAGTCCACTTCTTACATGGACAAACAAAATACCAACATAATCCTTCACGTTTCTATTTACTCAACATAGCCTGTGTACATCTGCCTGCTCTCCTCAAAACAATCGGGGAGAGGGACATCTGTGTAGTGGCATTTTTAAGCGTGTTCCGCATTCCGGGTGGTTTTCATGAAATGTTTGGAAAGTGCGCTTCTTGGCTGTTGTACAAATCTGCATTTATTATGTAAGACATTTACCATCTTTTAATAGGTTAATCTATCATTTTCTCCAAATATGGCATGGATACCAGAAACCAGGAATTTTCCATCCAACTCAAAGGTACACACCACAAGAAGTTTGTGCCAAGCCGCAGAATGTCTCAGAATCTCACAAATGTACGTGTTGAGCTAGCAACTACAGATGTACAGAAAATTAAATACCAGCAACTGGTGAGATCTTCATGGAGGATCAAAACCATGATCTTGCCTGAACAAAGCCAAACAATGGCATATACAATGCACAAAACAGGTCAACAGACTTGTGTGTAGCAGCTACATCTGATTCATGTGGTGCCAGAGTGAACAAAGGAGGTAAAACCAAAAGCTCGAGCTCGAGCTCAAGCTCGAAACTGAGAAACAAAAGCTTGATCAAACTGATGCAAGTAACATAAGAACATCTCTAGACAAACGCATAGCTTTCTTCAAGTAAAGAGACATGTGAGGCAAAGAAAGGTTGAGAGACCAAATATCAAAAGAGAACAACAATTGCACAGATGTCACCAACCGAAAGAGTTAACTCCGCAACATGATTAGTGGCACTGTTACACAGATGTCCCTCTAGCCTATGTAGCTTCGCAGTTTTTAAGCAATTTGAGCACGCTAAGAAAGCGGCAAAGCTGCCACAGCGAGTAGCAAAGCTGCAAGGAGCCTGAGAGAGAGACAACGGAGAAACCACCTGCACGGACGACCAGCATTTTTTGTTAGTCCAGTGCGCTGGTGTACTGGACGTTGTCTTTGGATCAGAAGGCTAACCTATCAATCAAAATTTTCACTAATCTCCCAGGGGACAGCTCCAAGGTACAACGCAGATCTCTGGCATGTAAAACAAAAAATAATCGAGAAAGCATTGTAGAAAGCGTTATGGTGCCTGAATATTCTTCGCAAATATCACGAAACTGTTAACTGCCAAACATGAGCAAGAAACAGCCATAAACAGTTTGGCTCTTGGGAGAGATGTGATGCCGCAGGGTGAGATGAAATTCAAAAATTTTGCTTGCCCTTTGGGCAAGCTGTAATTTCATCTTACTAGCCTAAATCTCTGAGGAGCTAGCCCAAAACTATTTTTTTAAAAAAGGATAATTAAATCAATTTAGTATGCAAAAATAATGTTAATTAATAATATTTTTATGGAGCTTACAATAAATGATTTAATTCTCTTTGATTTCCATTTTAAGTTAAACCTTATACAATAAAACATTTGGAACACTCAATGAGTGGTTCTAGAAAATTTTCATACCCTTCATGGAGGTTTTTTTCCAGTTTGACCCCATCCCCCAGGATTTTCTGTTCCAGGGCTGGGGGCTTCACAGTACTCCCCCCTCATCCACTGCAATTTCCATGATTTTTCTACTTGGGTTCCCCTACCCTGTGGAAATTCCATATCCATAAATAACAAGACTGAAGTCATTTATTTTAATCTCCTTGGTACTGTTATAAAATTTAGCCACAGCTATTCATGGCTATATTGTAGACGAGGATGCAAGGCCGCATATTTTTGCACAGTCAAACAATTTTCAACTTTGATTTGGCCACACAACGTACGCTATTTTATCGTGCATTATTTGTGGGAATGTTTACTAGGTCAGGATCAAAGCTGCTGGGAAATGAAAGATTAAGGCTCTGAAATTTAATTTTCCAAAATATGACCGTGGAAAATTCTAGACGTCATGTCATGTTAAAAATGAGTTTGAACTAACAACTGACTTAGAAGCGCTTCACTTCCAAATGGCATAGCCGCTGACTTTTTCTTCATTTAAAGAAATTTGCATACGAGAATCTAAGAGAGTACTGAAAATTTAAGCTCTTTTAAATAACTCAGTCAAAGTTTTAATTTATGCGTAGTCAAAACGACATATCGAATTACTTTGCACACAGAGTTATAGCAGGAAACTAAATTAAGTCATCATGAAACATGTTTTTCAACACAGCTGCTTGGCAAATTTCGCTGAAATTTTTCTTTCAGGAAAAGAATACATTTATGTAATTAAGTCATATGCTTTGTCTTTGTAGTTTGTAAATGATAGTAAATTCATTTTATGCCTTAATGTTTTTAATTTGTCACACATTTCAATCATGTTGTACTATAAATTATCAAACAAAATCTACAGCTCCAGCGCTCTTACATATGTTTCTAGACAAAAAGACAAATGGCACTGAATCAACTTTGCTAGCAAACTGTTAACTACATGGACGACGATGTTCCGCTGTTGGAACATGCGGTTGGGAAAAAAATGATTTCAGTCGCTTAAATTTTCCATTTTACTCTGTCCTAGGAAAAAAAACATTTGTAGTGTTTCACTTCTCTCATGAACTGCCTGCCAAACACAATGTTAGAAGTTCGTCATTAGAAAAAAAAGAAAAACAACAACCAACATTGTTTCACTCATGTCCACTTCATGCTTGCCCATCAGACAACCTGTGATAAGAAGGCGCTAACCCAACCGATCATTTCACTAGTCCTGTGCTATTGGACAGCCTTTTTGTCGTGCCCTGAATGACCGATTTCCCAGCAGGCTTTGGCCAAAGCATGATTTTTATCATGTTTCACTGTTTGCGCTCACCAGACAAGAATTGTCGTCTACGAGAATCACTATCTTCAATATTTTGACAACCAAATTTCAGAAATATTACCGCTGAACTTCACAGCAATGGAATTGTCGTCTGATGTTTTGTCCTTTTGTTGTTTGAGGACTTCAATCGCGGCTTGCTTCACTTTCTGCAAGCTCAAGTAGATGAAATTATGAAGTTCAAAAGCATTTCTTATTTTACGCACACAGGCATGGCATACACGATCAGATGATGTGTCTGATCTTTCTATTTCTAGACCAATTTCTGATTTCTGACAAAGTGCCATTTTGAAATCCTTCAAGCTTAGAGACCTTGAAAAGATTTTGAATGGTAATGTTTAAATTCTCCGAATTTGATCTTGAGCGGACAACAACAAAGTCTACAATTATTGTTTACACTTTTCTTGATTCCTCCCTTGACAGGCTTTGCCCTTCGCCGCCATCGAGCAAACACTGCATCGCCATAGTATTCGATAGATTTGTTTTGATAGACTCTACAGTATCACAGTGACTTTTCCCTGCCAAGTTGGCTGGATGTTTCTTATTATGATCTATGCTCTGATCAGCTGTGTTAATACGATTCACAAAACCTGACATCGAGTTTTCAAAATATATAATGGGGGTGGTAATAAAAAATGGGGGTAATCCAGGCTGGCAGTTCCTCGCAACTTTGTCAATCGCTCGTTTTTGTAGCTTCACCACTTTTAGTGCCACTTTGTGCACTCATACTCAAATTGTTTAAAAAATTGCTTAAACCACCAAGCTACGCAGGCTAATGTCCCTCTCCCTGATATTTTGTAGGGAAGGGGTGAATCCATTGAATTCATTGTTAGCTGTGAGACTTAAGATCAGCCCTATCAAGACAGAAGTCTTGCCTGTAAACATCTCAGCACCATTGCCCATTAAGGTATCAGTACACCACAAATGACCATAATTCATTTGCGCCGCTTTATGGTCAGACGTTTCACGCTAACCCCACTAAAGTATATATTTTCTGAAAGCTTTAGTAAGAATTGTAGATTATGAAGGTATGTTCATTAAAATAAAAAAAGTTAACTAAAGGGTTTTCAAATATAGATCCCATTTTCCCAAATTACAGAGGTTCACTAATCACTGATCGAATGTTTTTGACAGCTTTTCCCCCGACTTTTTCCTCTGAGGTGTTTTCTTCGAACTTGCAAACGAACATGTACTTTTGCATCTCCTCAATGACATATTTAGGCTTAAATAAACAATCTACAAACAGAGAACACCCTGACCAGCTCGTCAACTATACCAACCACAAACGTTTGGTAATCGTTCATACTCGACAATTTGTCACACGGCTTTTAATGCAAGTTTACATGTACTTCTCTTCACAACCCGTTGACAGCTATCAATTAGAGATAATTAATGCAAAGAAACGTTTTTCATTTGTAACTTTGCAGAGAATCGCTCTTTTTTCATAGAATTTTCTTAAATGAAAGATTGTAATAAGCTCTATCTGAAAAAAAAAAACACAATTTTTTTTTGACAACAAAATGTCTGCTTCTATAGGGGTTAATAAAACAGGGCAAAGTATCCAATCATCAGTGCAAATTGGATGATGGCATCATGATGACTCCAAAATGTCATTCCTACCTAAATGCCTAACTCGAAGGTTTTGAGGATTTGGTGGCAGATCAAGACAATACCTTTTATTTTTGGGGGGGGGGGGGGCAAATTATTTATTTTTGTCACTTGGCTGCTTGTCCTGATGAAACACTCATCGCAGAGTTTGTTTTTGATATATTACTTGAAATCCTCAATAGCTCCTTGTGAAACCTAACACCGCATCAGTTCAGAATCACCAGGGCTCCTTCCACCCTGGACTAATTAATTCTAGAACACATGCATATTTTCTGTCATAACACAACATGTGTGACGCTTTCATGAGAGAAAATATGCATGTGTTCTAGAATTAATTTACTTTTCGCTTTTCTCAAGATGTGAGCTTGGGACCCCCGTGATGAAACTTGGAGTAACAAATATGTTTGAACTAGTCCGACTTCACAAATCTTTCAATCTTGTACTAAGATGGCTATTGGCTATTTATTGAGCTGAAGAACCTCATTAATCTAATCAGATGTGACTTAAGTTTGTGACCTCTTCCAATTCCCCAAGTACCAGTATCACATGTTTTATGTTTTTAAACACATGTTTTAAAATTGTTGCAGACAATTTTACACAAATCTTAATTGAACTATTAAAATAGTGACGAGGAGAAATATTTGAAAAGCCTCTTGTCCTCTGGATGGCCATCAGAAAGAACTTGGTTGCCAAAAACCCAAAAGGTGCTAGTCCAAAATGTTAAAAAATAAGGAGAAACGGAACAAGAATGCCTAAAGTTTGACTTTCCTGTCTTGCTGTAGCTTAGCCTTTGTTTTTTTACAACCATTTTTACCATTTAAAGGCTTAAAATGACAACTTTATAATCAAAATTGTACTTATATTATACTTCACACCTACAGGTATGCAATTTTTAAGCTTACCTCAAGCCGTTCTTTGAGAGACCACTTTTCTGAAAGCTGCTTGTGCGCTAACTGTTCTCTTTCCTAAAGAAAACAAAAAAGAAACTCAAGATCTTAGAACTGGGCCTTAAAACCTTGACTGCTAAAAAAAGCCTGCATGAAAGGCATAGCACAGCTTAATTAATGCAACCTTTGAAAAATCAGTCAAACAAGGGTTGACATCAATTGTTGATGTCCTTTGCTTGTGTAGACAGGTTCTGTTTAAATTTCCAGGTATATATTCACTTTTTAATGTAATAAGAAACTCAAGTGCTTGAATGAGACCAAAAAATGATCTCACACTAAGAGAAAAGATTTACACAATTTAAACAGCTCTCCATTGAGCTTGCAAATTTGACTTTTTAGTCTTTCTTGTCTTAAACTGAAAAAAAAGTCTGTAACAGCCCGCCTTGTTCCCGCCTCATTGGAAAGCAGACATGTTTATTAGTCATTCAAATGGTTGCGTGTTTACTGCCAGAAGAAGCACATTGATTGAATGTCTTAATTCACAGGCCTAAGCATATTTTTTCGTTGAAAATATTTAATTTGGTCTTTGGCAAAATGCCTCAAAAAAACATGCACACAAAAATAAGAACAACAAAAATTCGGCATTTCTGCTGAAGAAACTTATGCCTAAAGTTCACAATAGTGACATGACAACATGACGTTAACTCAACACTAGTGGTCAACGTAACAACATGACGACATAAACATAATGATTTGAGAAGGATGTCATGTCACTATCTTTGCTGTGTGAACATCCAAACATAAAAACATAGTAACACAATAACAGCATGAACATAAAAACATAAGGGAAAAAACTGATCTTTATGTGCCTGGGTGTTCACATTACCAACATACAAGCAATGTAAGCAATTATGTTGTTATGTCATTACATGTATATCGTTACGTCATTACATATATCTTACTAGTACAGTGCGAACCAGGCAATTACTTTCCTTAGTCACAAATATCCTCCGCTATATGTGTCAGAGTTCATATGAGTCAGTACGTGGCCGTGTGGCCGCGCGATGCGGTTCCAGTCGATACCCACAATCTGACCCTTGCTCACCACAGAGTCTCCAGTAGCTCAGTGGTTACAGCATCCGACTAGGTCACTGCGGGTCATGGGTTCAAATTCCATTTGGGATTTGGATTTTTTTGCGAGTATACGTTTCTTCCAGAATTTACACTTAATATCATGTTGTTGTTGTTTCTCCGTTAGTATCTGAATTCCCCAAAATAATTTATCACGTCAATTTCACCTTTGCCTGCACAGACACATTTATTATGGCAGAGGGTAATATTAATAACTTCAATTTAAGTTAACTTTTAGATCTCCTCAGAGATAGATTTATACAGCCGCCTTAAATCAATGGAGCAGTTGAACTCTCGTCAAATGCTTTGTTGCCCGGGGTAATGGACGGGCTAAGCCGAAAGAAAGTAAACGCCAGGGGAGGAATATCAGTGATATTGGCAAATTAAGAGCAAAACAAATAATAATAATAATAATAATAATAATAATAATAATAATAATAATAATAATAATAATAAACAAAAGAAGAGTGTTAATTGTGAAAAAAACTAGAGCTAAGCTTCACAAAATGCTATAATATTTACATAATTTGATGTCTGTTAAACCTGTAAAACATGTTTCCATATCTAATCATGATATCATGGTTACTACAGCTAATACTA